CCCCAGCATGCCGGCATCGAGGGGCAGATGTCAGCTGTACTTGCAAACTGAGCTTGGGGCAAAGGTGTCGCTACGGTGAGCGCAGGCTCCCTGCAGACGCGAGGCGCGTGCCGCAGCAGAGGCGCCCACGCGAAGCCACACTGAGACCGGGGGTCTGCTCGGCCACGGGGGTTCGCGCGCTCCGGGAGACGGTGTCTTGCACCGTGCGGGTCCCTGCAAGCGCCTGCACAGTCCCGCCCAGAGCTAACTGTGCCCTTGCCCATACACAGGGCAGCTACGGTGTCTGTCCACGGCCCGAGGAGCTGCCGCAGCCCAACGCAGGACCCCGCATCCACGCGTGGGCCGAGAATGGACAGGGGAGGTGGCGCCCCGCACGTCCTGCCAGCCCAGCGCCGGCCTTTGCCCCGCAGCCTGGACTGAGGCTTGAGCTTGTCTGCGGGCCGCACCCAGCCCTGCCTGTCTGCAAGAGACTCCGGGCGTGACCAGGGCCAGGCCCACGCGCAGGGGCTGCGCTCACCGACTCGGCGATCCGGGCCACGGCAGAGACCGTCAGGCCAAACAGGTCTTCGCCTCGCAGATACGCCGGGAAGAGCTGGAGCATCTCCGACTTCTTCCTCACACAGGCCACGGGCTCCAGGATTTTATCCCACACACCTGTGGGCCGACAAGCAGTTAGGACCAGGCTGCCTCGTGGCAGTGGCAGGGGCCAGGGCTGCGTCGGAAGCACGAGCAGGAGCCACTGTGCGCGCCGGACTCCCGGCCCTGGGGAGCGGGGCGGGCGCAGCCTGCTGGTGCCCGGCCGCCCGCGGGGCCGGGGGCTCTCAAGGCTCTAGGGGGTTTCAGGGAGGAGCAGAGTCGCACTGACAGTGGAGCGGTGAAAAGTGGCCGAGCGTGGACGGCACGCGCTGCCCTCCGGCTCAGGCCCCTTCCCGCGGCCTGAGGCGGCGCCCGGCCAGGACCCCGCAGGCTGAGTGGGACACAGCGGCGGCGCCCCCGCGGCTGGCCCCCAGCCGCTCCCTGCGGCCCTTAAACCTCGGCCAAGAGGGGGATACGGCCACCCACTTTCACTCATCTGTGCCGACGGAACTGGGGCCCGGGCCCGGGCCCGAGGCGCAGGGGCGAGAGGATCCCCCCGAGTCAGAGCGGGGGCAGGACGGGTCTGGTGCGCCCTGGGGTCCCCTCCGGGCGGCGCCGCGCCCAGGCAGGCCCGCAGCACCTACGTGTAACCCCGGCCGGCCCGTGACATTCTGCCTCCGCCCGCCCCGGCCCCGGCCCCACCCGGGGCCCGCCCACGCGCGCCCGAGCGCGGCCCACCTTTCGGCGACGTGTCGCTCAGCACGAGGTCCTCGTGGCCCTGCTCCACCACCCTGACGACGAAGGCGGGGCGCCCGTCCCGCTCCTCGATGGAGCACAGGTAGCGGCAGCGCCGGTGCGGGTAGCGCGCGCTCCAGTAGAGCCGGCTGGCCTCGTAGCCCACGGGGAAGAGCGCGCGCGGCGAGTGGAAGGCCGGCATCTGCTGCGGCAGCAGCTGGCCGATGGCGTGGAAGATGAGGCTGCCCACCCGGAAGGTGTGGCCGCGCTCGCCGCGCTGCACGATGCTGGCGATCTGGCGCGCCTCGTCGCGCTGCACGTACACGCGGCGGAAGACGGCGAAGTGGCTCAGCTCCTGCTCGTGGGCGCCCTTGGGCCTGTGCGCCGGGCACAGCATGGTCTTGTCCTTGAAGAACATGCACTGCGCCCGGAGCGCGCAGGTGAAGTGGTAGGTGTTGGCGCAGCGGAAGCGGTGGCAGCCGCTGGTGGCGCCCGCCTTGTGGCAGCACACGCACCTCATCTGCAGGCCGCGGCGCAGCGCCAGCTCCACGTTGATGAGCGCGCCCGCCTGGGTCTCGTAGACCTCGGTGGACCAGAGCGCGCAGTTGAGGTGCACCCACAGGTCCAGGTCCAGGTTGAGCAGCCGCGCCGGGCCGTCCGTCAGGCCGTCGCCCTCCTCGTGGCAGAAGCAGCACTTGCGGAAGTCCCGGGGCGCCGGGTCGGGCCTCAGGGAGGTGCCCCGTTGGCTCAGGAAGTCGTCGATCTCCTCCTCGCCGGGCGGCCTGCAGGTGCCCTTGGGGGTGACGATGTGGATGCCCCACTTCTTCCACTTCATGCCGCGCCACTTCTTGCTGACGGGCCGGCAGTCCTCACAGGCCCCGTGCACGGCGCGCAGCCGAGGCTTCAGCTTGACGGTGACCTTGAGCTCGTCGGGCTTGGCCTCGGCCTTGGCGGCCTCGAGGGCGGGCGGGAAGGCGATGGGCGGCGAGGCGGGCGGCGAGGCCTTGTCCTGGAGCTGGGCCAGGCAGTGCACGTCCAGCGTGGAGATGTTGTTGCTGTACTGGTGGAAGGCACGGGACGGCGCCTCTCTGACAGGCGACGGCGGCAACGAAGGGACAGAGTCCTGAGCGACAGACACGGCAGAACAAAACACGGCGACTCGCCTCTGCTCGCACAGGGGCCCAGGTCCTCCGGGCATGTGGCCTGGGGGGGGGCGGGCGGGGGGGCAGGGCGAGGGCCCTGTAGGGAAGCCCCCCCGGCACTGGGCCGGGCGCCCCGACACCCTTGGCTCCAAGGCTCCCCCTGCCCGCCCCGCCCGGCAGTGGGGCGGCTCCTTCAGTGAGAGCAAGGAGCTGTTCCCTGAAGAACTGGGAATGCCTCCTGCCGCTTCTCCACCCCCCCCCCCCCCCCCCCAATTCCTGGAGCTCATCTCGGGCTTGGGTGACTGGCATAAACATCAAAGCGGGCTGTCCTTCGTCAGCAGACCCATCACAGTACTTTTCCTGAGGCTGCTCAGCACTGCTCCAGCCTCTGAAGCGGCTGCTGGGGGTCTTGGTGTCCCTGGGACACAGGGTGCTGTCACTGACAGCGCCCCAGCCCCAAGCCCAAGCACTGGCACTGCCGACACCGGGGACACCGGCTCCCGGGGCTGGGCCCTGGCTGAACGCCTGCGCGGGCTCTTCTGAGGAAGGGCAGCGGCCGGGGCTCTGAGCCAGGGTGGCGCAGGACCTGTGCGCCGGCGCTGAGCGAGACAAGGGTCCGGCGGGCGGCCTCCCCACCAGGGGTCCCGCGTCCCAGGCCGCAGGGCTGAGGGCCGTCTGCGACAGGCCCCGCAGGACGGCTGCGGGGAGGGGCGTTTCGTGCCACAGCCTGGCACTACGCGAGTAAAACTAAAAACTGTGTGCTCACGCTTCTCTCAGTTCCCGACTTTTAACGATAAAATCCCCGATTTCCACTCGTGTCAAGCGAGCTGAGCGAGTTCCGTCTGGAACAGCAGCGGGGGCCCAGGCCCGGTGCCCCTCCCCAGCAGCACCTCGTGGGGTCCCCGCAGCCCCACCCCCAGGCGCCAGCGCGCCCCGCACCTTGCTTTCTGAGTGCTTCGCCCGTAACGCCGACGAGTGCAGGATGAAGCAGTTGTTGCTGCAGAAGACGGCGGCCTTCTCCACGCCACCAGGGCTTTCTCGGGAGTCCTGCAAGCAGGAAGCGCGTGGGGTCTCAAGCCACATTGTAGGAAAACAAACCTCTGAGCTGCTGGCTTCTGCGTGGTGCCCAAAGTCTAAGCAGCTACCTTGCGGCGCAAGGGCCGCCCAGGCCGACCTCCCGCACGCCGTGCCCCAGGCCGAGAACACAAGCCTGCCCCGCGGGCCTCACTCTGCTGCATCTCACGCTCCCCAAGGCCACACGCCTTCGTGCCATCAGCCCAGCCCCCGCCCGGGGCGCGGGGCTCGGGGGGCCTCTCGCTGGCGCAGGAGCAGCACGGCCTGGACGCCAAGTACCTTGCCGAAGGAGGCCAGGTCTCTGCATGTCTTCCGCACGCCGCTTCCCAGCACGACCACCTTGCAGTGGGAGCACCACTGTGGCCCGGGGGCTGCGCCTTCGGGGGCCCCGCGGCCAGAGCCCCTGAACCCGGACAGGCCTGGAGGCAAAGAGCCGTGGTTAGCAGGGCCAGACTGGCCACCTAGTGGCCACGCCCACCAACAGCAGCCGGATCCGTCAGCTCCTGTCACACTTCGTTATTTAACGAACATCTGACTCTAAGCAGGTTTCCGGGGCATTTACTGTGGGGCACAGAGTCCTCCAGGGCAGGGCCGAGCTGGAGCACGGACACTCGGCCGCCAGACAGCCTGACGGTCTAAGAATCAACAGCGGCTACGGGAGAGAGGCTCCTTTTAAGGGGCATCTCGTGACCGAGAGGGGGTGTGTGCCGGTCTTCAGTGTCCTCTGGAAGGGGAGAGCGCAACGAGGCGCGCAGGGCCAAGAGAATGCCGGTCCCGACACAGGCAGCCCAGTGTGTGGCACCCTCGTGCACGTCACCCACACGGGCAGGAGGCAGAGGGGAAGAGATGGTGTGCAAGAAGCCGCCAGAGGCCACCAGGCCTCAGCCAAAGCAGGCGACTCAGGAGAGCCCCTTGGTGAGCGCCACGAGGCCGAGGAAGCAGGCGCCGGGGAGTCCTGTGCAGCCGCTGCGGGGGAGTGGGGGGCACTGGAGACCAGAGGCGCCAGCAGCAGCGTGAAGCGAGCAGCCAGAGGGGCGGAGGTGGGGATGCAGGACAGCGGCCGGGCGCGCTCGGCCGGGGCAGCCTGCGGGGCGGACATGGGCGCGTCCTGCTCAGGACACAGAAGAGCTGTGGCCCGAGGCAGTCCCCACACACGGTGACCTACGGGGGCCCACGCCACATGCTCCCGTCACAGCTAACTCAAGTTTCAGGAGAACGAGTGTAACTGAGTCAGGATGAACGTGGGTAAGAAAACGTGAACTAGCTCACCGTCGCTTGCTGGAGGAAATGGAACATTTGGCTGCTCCAGCCGGTAAGAGCTGGCTGATCTGGGAGGGTGTGCAGATCCTGGTGGAGGCCCACGAAGAAATAAATGCTGTCGATACTCCGCACCTGGGCTCACTCTGTGGCCACCGGCCACACCCACGGAGGGAGCACCCGGAGCGCTACTAACCTCATAGCTGCTAGGGACGCGGACGTGAAGCAGGTCGGAAAACGCAGCCACAACGCTGCTGATGTTCTAGGACACGAAAGGAAGGTGCGTCACCGCCCGGCGGCAGCGGCGCCCAAGGACGCGGCGGCTTCGGCTGAGCACGCGGGCCCCAGGGAAGCGCCTGCTCTCAGGGCCGTGCCCAGAGTCCCAGCAACACCGCTCCCCTTCCTGGGGGCTGGCACCCTTCAGGATCGCGACCGGGGACACCCCGGGAGCGAGCCCAGCGCCCACTTCCTGCGGCTGCACGAAGGCCGTCCTGCTGCGGCGGGAGCCTCGAGCCGCCCTGCTGGGGACCAGCCCGCCAAATGCACGGCCAGAGCCCGGCATGAGCAAAGCTGGGCATTGAAGCCACCTGCCAGGCGAGCTGGTGCTGCTGGGGGCACCTGGTGCTCCCAGGACATGACGCGGCCATGACGTCCATCCATCCGCTCTTCTCTGTCTCTCTCACACACACACTCACACCCCCGCTCTTCTCTGTCTCTCTCCCTCACACGTGCGCGCGCCAGGAGTCCCTCTAACGAGAGCTCGGAGCTCATCCAGCTCTGCTCAGCTGAGGTCATCTGATCCTGCCTCGGGATGCCAGGGCCCGCTGGGCCTGCCCTGCCTGCCTGCCCACGGCGGGTGCGGGTGGGGGTGCGCAAACACTCTGCATCTCGCAGGGTCTCCCCTCTTTACCTCAGCAGCTGTAGGATGCAGAGTGATCGCTACAGATATAAGACCCGATCTGGGGCCATTTGGGGATGAACCAAAAGGCGGTGCAAAGAATAAAGTGCCTGGCTCAGTTTTGATATCATTTCTTCTAGATTCTGAACCTTGGAAGGAAAAACAAAAACACAATTAAAGAGGCAGTGTTTCTGGCTCTCCAAAAAGCGTGAGCCAAAAGCGGCGTGAGCCGCAGTGCGTGACGAGCAGCTCACCTTTGCCAGCGCTGCTGGGCAGGATGGGGATGATGGGGGACGGCACGGGCTCTGGGGGCTCCTCTTTGACCAAGGACAGATCCGGGTACCTGCTCACTTCCAGCCCCACCACGCTCTCGGGAGAGGACGAGGGAACGAAACTGTCGGGCGTGTCCCGATCGCCCACGTGGTCCTGTGCCCTGAGGGAGGACGACAGTGTGAGGCAGCCGCTAGCCCAGCCCAGCCCAGCCCAGCCCCGCAGGGCAGCGAGGAGCAGAGTGCAGCGCAGTCATTCAGGCTCTGCCAGGATGCTGGTGGAAAAGCCCAGACTCTGTGATAAAGTCGTGCTGGGGCTGTTTCCTCAGCTGGGGGTGAGCATCGACATTAAACCAGCTGCCAAAGAAGGCAACGTCCTGGCTGTTCTGGCCACGCACTGTGCGGAGAAACGACCACCATTTGTACCCCGCAGATTCAGGCCTGGGGCTCCGGGAGCTGACTGCCCCCCCACCCCTCAGAGGGCACCGCCCGCTGCTGGGAGGAGGGCAAGGCCCGGAGCACCGGGCTAGAACAGCCTCTCAAAGGGCCCCAGGACGGAGCCTCAGGGTAGCCACTGCCTCGAGGAGGGGCACAGGACCCCCTGAGCCGGGCAGCACCCACCCTGCCCCTGGGGTGCCACCCCGGGGCCGGTGAGCAGCAGCGGCGGCGGCCGGGCCAGGCGCCCACAAGCCCCACGGCAGCGGCTAGAGCGGCTAGAGCTCGCTCGGTGGAGACGCTCCGGGTTGGTGCTCCCCAGCCAGAGCCTCGGGGCTCGAGAGCTGACACGGAGCAGGAAGGGGGTCTGGCACAGTCCCTGGGGGTGCTGCTCCCCGGCAGGGCGAGCCTGCGTCTGGGACTGCTGCTGCCGGGGACGCAGACACGCATGAGCCGCTAACGGGCGACCGGGACAGGAGCCTGCCCCGTTCCGCCCCGTCTTACATGTCCACCTGTTATTACCTGCTCAAGTCCCTGTGTCATGGACGATTCAGAAAAATACACAACCCTACTGTATTTACTGGTAGAGTCTGCCTAACGCTTAAATCCCAAAGAAAACCACTCACCAGAGTTTGCCCCCCACGCGTCTACTACCTGCCATCCCCACAGGTCACACGCTCTGAAGAACGGAGGGGCGGGGGCCTCCCTGGCGGCCGAGTCGCTCTCAGCACTACCAGTGCAGCCGCCGGCGTCTGATCCCCGGCGGGGAGCGACCCCGGGCGCAGCCGCCCCCTCCGGTCTCCTCGCCGCTCCCCAGTGTCTCTCAGTGGATCCGCCTGCTCTGCTCCCCGCTCTGACCCTGTGAGTCCTCTCACCCCCTCTACCTCGGGTCTGCAGTCTAGCTTGTCTACATCAGAATCAAGTAAAAATCTGACAGTCGGGAGTGACTGAAAAGCATCTGTGGCAAAGGACCAAGTACCTCAACTCCTCCTGGTTGTTGTGAGGTGGTGTTGGAAGGGAAGCTGGGACGTCCACCGTCTTTGGGCCCTGAGCGATTGCTCTGGCCAGCAAGTCCTCATGAGGTCTGAATGGCAGCTGAAATGGCTTAGGCCCCAGATTTTTGGTGACTGGGAGAGCTAAAACACAAAACATGGAGAACTCGGTCAAACCTGACACGAGGCAGAACACAGCCAGGTACCTGCCGGGGCCCCAGGTGTGAGGTGCAGGTGTGGGCCGTACCTTCGTGGCTTGCGAACACACCAGCTTTTCCAGCAAGCTCCTCAGTAGTCGCAAAGCCATTTACCATCTTCGGACAGGCCATGGGAGGTGGTGTAGGAGGAAGAGAGGCAGGGGGTGTTGGAGGATTACTTAGATTATTCTGCTGCAGGAGACCAAAAGATTTTTAATTATATGCTACTGAGCAAATATGCAATGACCTTGCTAAAACTCAGCTCTGAGCACTGTCAGCACACAGAAGCGAGGCTACGGCAGAGCCGAGACTGGCTTCACCACACACCCCGAGGGAGGCGCCAGGCAGGGGGCCCTGCCGCGCGACGGACGGCTGAGGTTCACGGACATGTCACCCGTTGCTTACTCCGCCCCTCGAGCACCCAGTTTAGAACACGGAGAAGTGAGTTTCCAGAGCCTGATTCTATGCAGTAGGATTCGCAAGTTTCATTGTGAGAACTCGCCAGGGAACCGTTTGAAAACTCAACTAGGAAATGGAAAAAGTTCTCCAACATTCTTTCCTAAATTCTCACTGAGCTGTATCCCAGGTCTGCAAAGAAGACCCGAGAATTAGTGGGTCTGACCCTGCAAGTCCAACTCCCCTCTCGGACGTGCGAATCTGGCTGAGACTGCTGCGGCCGAAGCAGCAGAGTGGCGGAGCGGCACAAACGCGGCCCCGCCGGCCCTTCCCTGCGGCCCGGGGGTCGCGGACGGAGTCCTTCCCCAGCCTCTGCTCGCTCCACCAGCGACGCGCGCACGGTGCGAGGAGGGAGTAAAGCCACGCAGACACGGGGCTTGCGGGGGCGACGCCGTGCCGTCAGGACAGTCTGGTCTGCGCCAGAAGAAGGCGAGTCGACGGCCCGGACAGCTCTCTCTCGGGCGGGAGCCCGCTACGACCCGGGGTGCCAGCGTGGGAGGGAAGCCCGGCACATGAGGACGCGCAGACGCACTTTCCCCAAAGACCATTTTCACACGAAGCACACGTGAGGTCGCATGCAACGGCGGCGTGTGAGGCCACAGAGCACCTGCACCTGCTCAGACACACCTGACCCGTGCGCCGCTATTTCAGCAGGCTCAGAGCCAGTGTGGCGGCGGCGGGGCCGCCAGTGAGCAGGTGGGAAGGGTCCTACGCTCCCTCTCCCAGAGTAACAGACTCCTAACCACGTCTCTTGTTCTTGCTCCTTCCTGTGCATTTGGAGTCACTTTAAAGAGTCTGACAGCTCTAAGGACGTCAATGTTTTCCCCACCGTGGGATGCACAGTGGGTCTTGCCACCTTCGTATTCTTATGCACCCCCAAGCCCCGTGTTACAAACACTTCATCTGGCATGACTGTAACTTTTTAGTGGAACTCAAGCTTTCATGAAACTTGCAGGGGTCAGATATAATGAGATGGAGCAGCGAGGCAAACCCTGGCCACTCTGGGGGCGGGGGGGAGAGGGGAGTACCCCAGTGGGTGGCAACTCCACGTACCTTGCAGATTAACTGGGAGTAGTAGTCGGAAACCCCTTCCAGGGCGGCACTGCCGAAAGCTCCCAGCAGGCGGCTCCCGCTGCTGAGCTGGCCGCTGCCGTAAGGAAGAAAGTGCGCAAAGTTCACTCCAATGACCGGTTCCATTAGAGGGAGCAGAGAGAGCTGCTATCGAAAAACACGTTTAAGAGCAATGCATGTGGTAAACGAAACTGCTCCCCAGCTCCCCTCAGACCAAGGCAAGTTAGTTCAAACAAGGCTGGAGAAAAAAGCCCGGCTGCAGCTTCTGTACCGAACGTGCCGGAACAAGGGGCGGGACAGCAGGCTGCGGGGCAGACTTACGGGGGCTTCCTCTCAGCTGCCTCGGGGGCGCTGCGGGCCTCTGCCAGGGCCTGGGGGGGGGGTGCTATGCCCGGCTCTCGCACGCACACGGGTGCAGGGAGCTGTGGTGGGGGCGGCCCACGCGGGCCGTGCAACCAGAGGCACGGGGAGGAGGGCACTGCGGCTGCGCGCCCGAGCCGGCGACCCCGGCCGCCCCCGGCCGCCCCAGACCACCATTTGTACCCCGCAGATTCAGGCCTGG